TGGTCTTGAACTCCTGACCTCAAGTGATCCTGGGCTTCCCAGAGTACTAGGATATCAGGGATGAGCCACTGCACCTGGCCTGAAATGATTTTTTATAGAGACCGCAAAACATAGCTATTCATCATGGACAAATGACTTCTGTTATAAATCTACTTGTCAACTAAAGCTAAATTTCTTAATCATTAGAAGGCTGTTCAGGCATTGAAATAAGCCTATACCAATGAAGTCATGTTTCATATCCTTTCATGTTCATGCAAAGTAGTTTTTCTGTTATTTCCCTATTCCAGATCTACTACTAATCTTTTTTTTTTTTTTTTTTTTGAGACAGAGTCTCATTTTGTTGCCCAGACCAGAATGCCATGGCTTCAGCCTAGCTCACAGCAACCTGAAACCCTGGGATCAAGAGATCCTCCTGCCTCAGCCTCCCAAGTAGCAGGGACTACAGGCATGTGCCACCATGCCTGGCTAATTTTTTCTATATATTTTTTTAGTTGTCCAGCTAATTTTCTTTTTATTTTTTTTTAGTAGAGACGGGGTCTCGCTCTTGCTCAGGCTGGTTTCGAACTCCTGAGCTCAAACAATCCGCCCGCCTCGGCCTCCCAGAGTGCTAGTATTACAGGCGTGAGCCACCGCGCCCGGCCCCTACTCCTATTTCAAATCCTAATATAGTCATTTCTGCTATATTGCTTGTTTTGAAAACATACGGTTGTTTCAATGTGATTGGTATATTAGAAAACAGTTTAAGCCTAACACCAATTTCACATGTGCTTGTGCATGATCTTGTCTGCAGGAAACACTAAGTAAATGCAGAAAACCATACCCAGCTGAACAGCTTCATAAGAATACATAAAAAACATACCCATATATACCTCAGACATCTAATAGCTACCTTGGTTCATCATGTTATGATCCATACCCACACGCAATCTGCAGTTAAAACTCCATCTGATTTCAGTTTACCATCATTCCACCACTTTATAAGAACTCACAAGCTGCAGCCCTCTGACACTCATTTCCATAAACAAACCCAGGTCTTTTTCAAAGTAAAGTGCCATATTGTTGTATACATGTAATTCTTAACCATTTAACATATGTAAAACTGTGTTGCTGCTCTTTTTCTTAGTTTCCTTTTTTTTTTTCTGTGCCACTGATGAAGTTTTTGAATGTTACACCCTTTAACTTCATTTTCCCATTAACCATACTGTTTTAATTTCACAATTTTTCATAGCACAATGCTTTATAGGAAAACATATGTTACAGTACAGCAGAACTGATTGTACTTCTCTAAAGCCTTTCCTCTTTACTCTTTTTTTTTTTTGAGACAGAGTCTTGCTTTGTTGCCTGGGCTAGAGTGTAGTGGCATCATCGTAGCTCACAGCAACCTCAAACTCCTGGGCTTAAGCAATCCTTCTGTCTCAGCCTCCCGAGTAGCTGGGACTACAGGCATGCGCCACCATGCCCAGCTAATTTTTTCTATATATTTTTAGTTGTCCAGCTAACTTTCTATTTTTAATAGAGACGGGATCTCACTCTTGTTCAGGCTGATCTCGAACTCCTGACCTTGAGCAATCCTCCCACCTCGGCCTCCCAGAGTGCTAGGATTACAGGCATGAGCCACCTCGCCCAGCCTCGGCCTTACTCTTACCCATATTAACTATATTCACTTCGAAATTCATATACAATTTATAGTCTATAAGATGTGTTGTATAGGTGTATATTTTCTGATGCTATTTGAATTCACACCTTTTGGCCTTATTTTCCCAAATAGAGTATAAGCTCTGTGAAGACAAGGCTCCTGTCTTACAGAGTTTTGTCTGGAATTTTGCCACATACTCTGCAATTCTTTATCTCCATGTCCTGGCGTCGTATTGAGTATGTATTTATATTCTATTCAGTTAAACTTACTGGTTGACTTGGAGAAGGACAAAAATTTAGCCGTATTCACAATATGTCTAAATCATTTTTTTCTTTCAAAATACACCTGAGATTGGAACCTTAATCATATTTTTAATTTTAGGTTAACACAAGATTTTGAAACTCAAGTTACAATCTTCTAGAATTACTGTTGATATTGTTGTCTCCAGTTTTTGCCTTTTTACCCTTCTGTTTTAATGCCATCTCTTTCTCAGTTATTTTCTTTCTTTTATTTCTGAGCATGTTCATAGGAAAGGGGCACATAAATTTGACTCATGAAATCATATGGACAAACGTCAAAAGAGAGGACCTTTTAATTTTAGAGCTTTGTAAGCTCTATTTCAAGGCACATTTCCTAAAACACATTTTTATTTTCCTTTTTTAGTTAATGTCTGATATGGAGACATTATATTACTTTAAGATGAATTATAAATCTGGCCTTCCATATTATTGTGATATCTTGTTTCACTAAAATGTTTTCTTCAAAAGTGATGTGTAAATTAATCATCATTTGAAATGTATTTAATGTACTTGGTGGAGAGGGTGGGTTGGCTTTTAAAGTAAATCAACTGTGATGCCTTTCTTATAGAAAAGAATCTTTATATAAGCTGGAGCTGGTGCATAAAATTTTGTTAGTCATGGGATAAAGAGTTACTGTGTTTTGTTGAATAATTTTAACAGGTATATTAAGTGTAATATTTTTATTTTGCTTCCATATAATGCGGACTCAGATTTTTTTAGAGCTACTCACATTCATTAAGAATTTATTTTCATTAGATTTCTTTAATATTTGATCTTTCCGCCCCCTCAGGCTTTAGTTTAGTATATGTAAGTAGATATTTCAATGTATACATATTCGCATCCCACTCCGCTTCACCAGTAGCAGTGGTGTTGGGTTCAGATTAACAATTGGACTTATGAGACAACATAAGCTTCACTGGGCATTAAGTTTACTTACCTTTAAGAAAGGCTGTAGGACAAGAAACAGCACACCTGGTACAGCAACAGCCCAGTGGAGCTCTCATGATTTCCAGGCACATTTTGCTTATATCCTGAGTATCTCACACTTGATATATTCATGGTCCTGAGGAACACAGCTGGGTGAGGAAGGACTACCTTAGTTCAGTGAGGCCATTACACCTGGAGTCTCTTTAGCTTTTATACCTTGTTCCCGTTATCCAGTGCAGCAAACACCTCATCAGTACTGGATAAGCAATCTTGATAGTGAACCACAAGTCCTTGGTAAAGTACATAATAACTTCTGCCAGATTCTCATTTTTCTTGGATTTAGTATGTTCCTGTAAATTCTAAGTTAAGAGTTACAAGGATGAGCTGGGTATGGTGATGCATGCCTGTAATCCCAGCTACACAGCAGGCTGAGATGGGAAGATCACTGGAGCCCAAGACTTGTTGAGGCCAGCCTGGGCAACATAGTGAGACCCTGTCTCAAGAAGAAGAAGAAGAATTACAAGGATGATTTGGCCCAAGTGTAAAATCCTCAGATATTCCTGAGGCTAAAGGAAAGGTCAGAACTGTTAACAGCTATTAACCCTTTCAATTAAGGTCCTGTAACCACATAGCCAACAAACAGTCTAAAGATGTATATTCTTTGTCCTCTTTGACTTTTTTTTAGCTACCACCATAGTGTCTGGACTTCTTGACTTCTTACTATATGGGAAATATTCACATATACCCAAGTGAATAAAATAGTGTAACAAACATACATGTTCATTACCTAACTTCAAAAATTTATTCATGGCTAATCTCATTTTAACCATCCCCAGCCACTTTTCCCTTTCCTCTTATTTTGAAACAAATACCAGGCATAATATTTTATCAATAAATATTTCTAAAAGATGACTCCTAAAAAATAACCAATACCATCATTATAAACACACTCACTTGGTAGGTAGGTCTAGAAAATTGATCAGATGCAGTTTTGACTTTTTAAAATTTTTAATTCCTTTTGATGAGAGCAGGAGTCACATAGGACAGGTTGTTGCTTTGTGCTCTGCAGCAGCCAATGATGGTCATTGTCTTAAAGAGAGTTGCAAAATGATGATATTCTAACCCTGTAATTCCTTCTTCATTTATTCCTGGAATGTTTCTGATAAAGAGCAACTTCCCTCCATCTATATGGTTAGCCCGTGGTACAGTTTGAATAAGAAAGGCAGGATAAATGCTTTATGTTTTATATACCAATGTCACTATGAACTGATGGATTTTAACGTATTTGATATATTTCGGTTTATGGTACTTTTCATCCACGTATCTGTGTTGTCCCATCTTTGGCCTGAATTAGCCTCTTCAAATTCGCCATGGTTTTAATTAATATACATTTGGATGGGTCAAGCGCTATTCAATTTGTTATATCTTCCTCTAATCCCTGTTGTGTAACACCTTCTAGCTTCACTTACTTATGTTAATTTCCTTACCCTTTTAAATCCTTGAGATTTTGGACCCTTTTTAAAATTTGTACTTTCTTAACTCAAAATTTTAATTTGAAGAGATTTTTTTTTTTTTTAGACAGTCTCACTCTGTTGCCCAAGATAGAGTGCAATGGCGTCATCATAGCTCACTGCAACCTCAAACTCTTGGGCTCAAGCAATCCTTCTGCCTCAGCCTCCCGAGTAGCTGGGACTACAGGCATGCGCCACCATGCTCGGCTAATTGTTTCTATATATTTTTAGTTGTCCGATTAATTTCTTTCTATTTTTTTTTTTAGTAGAGACGGGGTCTCGCTCTTGCTCAGACTGGTTTCGAACTCCTGAGCTCGAACAATCCGCCCACCTCGGCCTCCCAGAGTGCTAGGATTACAGGCGTGAGCCACCGCGCCCAGCCTGGAGATTTTTTTTGTTGTTTGTTTTGTTTTTATAATTTAAAGAGCTTTATTCTGAGCCGAATGTGTGTGACCGTGACCCAGAGCATATGGCCTCAAGAGGTCCTGAGAAAATGAACCTGAGATCTGGGTTCTAATTCTAAGTCTTAACTCCTTTCCTGTCCTCTTCACTTAACACAGCTGGATGAGCAAAGTGCTAAACACTGGACTTAGTGAGAAACTGCAGAAAATTTACATTTCCTCTTAGCAAAGTTTGTCTAAAAGTTACTAACCAAAACCTTTTTGTTTTTATTAAAGTTAAGAAAGAAGAAAAGAAAAGGCATAAATCATCATCTTCCTCATCATCATCCAGTGACTCAGATAGCTCAAGCGATTCTCAGTCCTCTTCTGATTCTTCAGATTCTGAAAGTGCTTCTGAAGAGAAATCAAAAAAAAGAAAAAAGAAACATAGGAAAAATTCCCGAAAACACAAGAAAGAAAAGAAGAAGCGAAAGAAAAGCAAGAAAAGGTCTTAATTTTACTTTTATTAATGCTAGCTTTATATCTGATTCCCTTTTGTTTATAAATAAATCTATTGAGATTTTGGATCAATTATATGGGAATGTTAAAATAGTGAGAAATATTTTATAGATATCATGGAGTATCATAAGACCATTTTGATATTCTGTGGTGTATAAATTAAGTTTGGGTACATTGATTTCTATCTTTTTCTTTCTTTTTCCTCTAACCTGCTCCAAGAAAGATCATTTCCTTTATAAATAAAACTTATCAGTTCAATTTTTGTGCACTCAGTGAAATGATGCTTCTGGTTTCGTAGGTTTATATATTTTTGTGGCAGGATTGTGGAATTAGTGAAAATTATAAGAAGCCACGAATTGTTTTCCTTATTTTCAGTAGCAGTCTCCTTTGCTCTTATGATAGTGTAAGGGTAGAAAGCAGATAACGTCAACATATTACTTTCTTTTCAGTTTTCTTTGAAATAATCTGTTTGTACTAAAACTTATCTTTATCTCTCTGTTGCCTCAAAAGCAATTAATTTCTTTGTCTGTGTTTTGAAGCACTTTAAATTTATCAGAGAGTGCATTGCCCACACTTTTTCTTTTTTTAGTCAATCCAGAAGCATGTTTACAGAATTTCATATTTTGGATCCATTTTATGGAAAAATATCTTTTGAGAATGTGATAACAGACACATTTTGTTTTGATTTTTTGTTGGTTAGTTGGTTTGTCAGGGGAATGGAGGAAGATTTTTCCTCATGTGATTACATTTTGGGGAGGGACAAGATAGTATATAGATTGTGATATGTGGGAAAGAAATACTAACAATTAGAAATTTTGCGTGGGTGCATAATAACCAAATGTAATTTGTTTTGTGTGTTTCCGTCTGTTAAGTGCATCAAGCGAAAGTGAGGCTGAAAATCTTGAAGCACAACCCCAGTCTACTGTCCGTCCAGAAGAGATCCCTCCTATACCTGAAAATAGATTCTTAATGAGAAAAAGTCCTCCTAAAGCTGACGAAAAGGAAAGGAAAAACAGAGAGCGAGAAAGAGAAAGAGAGTGGTATGTGAATGTGTGTATTTTGCAGAATGCCCTACATGTTTTACCATAGAACTTTTCTTCTTTTTTAAAAGTTTTTACTTATTTTAGACACAATTTAATTGGTGACTTTTGTCCCAAGATTGAAATCTTTTTTATAGAATATTGTTAGCAAAGCTGCTTTTTGCTAACCACATAGCTAGAAAGGTAAACTGACTTAAATTATGAGCAGATTTTGAAATAAAGTTACTTTTTTTAAATAATAAGCACTAAGGCAAAAAGGATGTTAAAGTGGCATTCCAAACCAATAACAAAATAATGTTTAACTTAAAACGAGATAGTGTTTTACTGTGTTATTTGTAGATACATTAAACTTCTAAGCAAGTAAGAACCTTAATTTTTCAATTTGTCTAATAGGAGAAAATGCTGTTTTCCTTACCCAATTTGTAATCTTATAGTAATAAAAATTGATATCATGTTCAAGTCCTTTGAAAATTTTTCTATATAAATCCACATTATTATCAGTAGTGCTAATAGTTCTTTATGAATCATTTTAACAGTTATATTCACAAGTAGAAAAAAGAAGATTAGACTCTTAGTTTTGACCAGAAATATATTGTCAAGTAGTAAAATTTTGAGCAATCCCTGTATGCTTTCACAATACAATAAAAATATAAAAATAGGGCTGGGTGCAGTGGCTCACACCTGTAATTCTAGCATTTTGGGAGGCCAAGGTGGGAGGATTGCTTGAGGCCAGGAGTTCAAGACCAGCCTGGGCAATAGTGAGACCACAACTCTACAGAAAATAAAAAAATTAGCTGAGCGTGTTGGCACGTGCCTGTAATGCCAGCTATCTGGGAGGCCTAGGCAGAGAATCGCTAGAGCCCAGGCATTTGAGGTTGCAGTGAGCTATGATGACGCTACTGCACTCTAGTCCAGGCAACAGAAAGAGACCGGTTTCAAATGAATGAATAATTTGAAACTTGGAGTAATTTTGATAATTTGGATTGAGTTTATTTTTCTACTAGTATTAGAAAGGATGTTTCTAAGGAAATAAAGATTAAAGAGAAAATATTTGAGCTGATTTAGAATGAACTTTTCAGATATCACTTACATGGATGTTGTTGATGTGCTAATTAAATATTAACTGATCTAGCTATTATGAAAAACAGTTATCCTTTTTGATATAAACCATGGTATGAATGTTTGACTAATTCAGGCCAGCTTGCTTCTGCTTAATTCACATTACTTACATTTCTCTATAGTTCTATTACCAATGAACAACTACTTATAAGAAGGTACTTGGAATAAAATAGTTTAAAAATTGTCCTCTCAACAGCATGTAGCCGCTTCTGAGCTCTTCTACGTTAATTTTCCTTAGCACTATCAAATTAGTTTCATTTTAGTAGTGAGTATATAACAGTGTTTCTCAATAGGACATGATTGTCATTTTGAGGCAGGATAGTCCATGTTCATGCTGATACATTTCAAAATTCTAGCATTTCTGACTCTAGGGCCCTACTTAGCAGTAGCATCCTGTAGTTACTGATAGCATTTTTTGTTGAGAACCATTGATTATACAGTTGTGCCTCGTATTCACGGGGAATTGGTGCCAGGACTCCCTGCAGATACTAAAATGTGCAGATGCTTATCTCTTTTATAAAATGATACAGTATTTGCATATAACCTACACACATCCTCCTATATATTATACTTTATGTCATCTCTGGATTACTTGATAATACCTAATACAATGTAATTCTATGTAAATAGTTGTTATAGTATATTTTTTGTTTGGTTGGGTTTTTCTGGTTTTT